ATCCCTGGAAACATTCAAGGTCAGGTTGGACGGGGCTCTGAGCAACCTGATTTAGTTGAAGATGTCCCTGCTCATTGCAGGGCGGGGGTTGGACTAGATGACCTTTAGAGGTCCCTTCCAACCCAAACTATTCTATGATTCTATGAATAAATTTCAGTTTTAGTTGCTGGAGGATAACTTGGTTTTGTGCTCCAACTCTTCTTTCTGGGGTCACTAACAAAGCATCAGTGGCGAGATGACAGCACTCCTTTCCATTTGGTGGAGTTCAACCTGTAGCCTCACGGCGGAAGCCATCGTGTTGTACTGTCCTCTTGATTCGTGTATCTTTTTCCTGTCTCTCCTAATTCTGTGCTCTAAACCTCTTAGTGCTGCAGGAATACAGATAATCTATCACCACCTAACTTGCACAGCGGATAAAATGATTGGAGGTACTGCACAAGGGCCTCCTGCAGAGGGGGAAGAGTTTGTCAGTTCTTCTGAATATTTGCACTAGGGCTTCAGACCTTCTCAAAGCACATAATGATTGGAATCAGAGAGGCTCAGATATCAAAATTATCTGATTATCAAAGATTTACAAGGCGATATGTGAAAAGAAACAGAAGAGGTTGCTGGAGAGTAGAACATAATCCATGAATCTTGTAAAATGATGTAAAGTCTGAACCCCTGTGTCTGTGTTGATAGTGGAATTAGCAAGTATTTTCTGTTCTGGTTTGTTTTAAGCTCGAAATACACCTGCTGTTCTACTATTTATTGTCGAGCTTGAACTTAAAAACCAGCCCAGGGACCAAAATGTACAGTAATTTTTTTGTTTAAAAAGAAAAAAAAAAAAAGAGATTCCCAACCTTCTTTTTGTCATGTCTCTTGTATACCTATCTAGGAAATGTGATCAATGACAGTGACCCCATTGTAGCTCTAGAGTAAAATAAGGTCATGAACAAGGATACCGAGTGACAAAAAAGCAAGGCTAATCAGCCACAAAAAAGCCTTATGCATAGCTGATACTAAGTTCTCATGAAAAAAGTTGTGAGAGTGTGTGTATGTGTTTGTATAAGTAAATATGTGTGTGTGTGTATGTATATATTTATAAATTATTACATGGAAGTTAGTAGGGCACGCTGTAACCTCGGAAAAGGGTAAAAATCTGAACTTAGTTCATCGTCTCATAACCCCTTCTTAAAACTGTAAGATACTCAGGTCCATAATGGGGCCATCTCACTTATATAAAAATACAGGGGTGCCAGAAATTGATGGATAGAGGATTATATGGCATCATATAACTTTATGTGAGTATATGTTTGGGGTTTTTTTCTGCCCATAGACATGGGGGAAGAAAAAAAAAACCATTTCTTTTTTTTTTTTTTCTTGTTATGACCACTGGATTTAGCAATAGACAGCATTTCCTGCTGATTATTTCTTTGGGAATTAAGTGTATGTCATGTTGTATTTAGATAAAGGTAGCTTGTACCAAGGGCTTATTTTTGATACATTACATCTTGAAAAGAAAACTTTAAAGTTGTTTTTCTCCTTGCTTTAACAATTGTAACTAAACATTTTCTGCATGATACAGCTGTATGCTTTTTATGAAGTCTTTCTAGCCCTTGATTATGTGGTTTTTTTCTGGTGAATATATTTGGTATAGCACAGATTAAGAAAAACCCCATCTAATCTGTCATAATTAGGTTTTAATTTTCTTACAGAAATACTTCAGGGTAACCAAATCTTTTCTTCTCCTTTAATTAACAGAGGAGGAGCTCAGGAAGCTGAGAGAAGAAACAAATGCTGAAACATTAAGGCAGGAGCTAGAAAAGGAACGGCAGAGGAGATTAGAACTAGAACAAAAAGTCAATGAAGTACTTAAAGCAAGGTAAGAGAAATACCTAAAGCAAGGTAAGATAAATATCTTCATTGTAAAGCTGAAAGCCACTTGAGATCTCTGACTGTCTCTGAGGAGTTCTGGTGAAAGCATCCATTTCCAGCCTAGGGTCTCTTAAAATAAATTAGTAGCTCACAGAGAGAGCAGCTGTCTGTTTTCCTGTAAAAGTACATCTTGTACACCCACGTACACCTGAATTAATTGACCATACATACTGCCGTAGCTACAGAGGTGTCCTGACACTTGTCTAGTTGGGATATGCTTCATTTCACTTTCTCTGATGCCCTTCCTCTGGGATCTTGCCTACCTGGAGCTATCAGCATGCATTGTGTGCTACTGAATGACAGAACCTTTGCCATGCCATTGCATATGCTTTGCCTCTTCAAAACCTGTGTCATCTCCAGACTGCCCAGTCCTTGTTACTCCTGTTCTAGCAGCAGCAAGGACATTCCAGTACCACAGCATAACCCTAAATATGTGGGATTGACTGGAGTTTGAACCTTCCTTGCCACTGCAGTGACAAATGGAAACATGCCTCCCTATACCCCTAAGTCCTTTCAGCCTTGAGGACACTCACCTTGATGATGCAAAGCATCACATTTGATGTTGTCTCTCCTTAGTCTGTCTAGCTGCATGAACTTTAGATCTTAAGACCATAGCAGCTGCTTGGTGGCCTTGTTGGTCTAGACCACGTAGCTGCCTGTGTTATCTTCCTCAGCAATAGCTAAGATTACTTGGCTGAGCAGTAGGATCTGTGATTCACCATCAACTACTATCATCAGGAGATAGTGCAGGCTGAGTTAGTAATTGCATGCAATAAACACTGCCAGTTAGTTAGAGGTGACAAGCAAGAACAAACAGGCAAAACTTTTTGTTTGGATATGAGGTTTCCCAATGCCATACAAACTCTTCCCAGCCTGCTGCTTCCTTCTGTACTCATCCTGAGTGTAAAAATGCCTTTCTGGTCAGGCCAGCAGTCCATGTCCACTGGTATTCTGTAGCAATGGCAATAGGAGCCATTTATAGGAAACATGAGAGCCTAGTTGCTTTCTGTGGTCTGTTTATCACCTAATCCTATAGAATCATTTATGTTGGAAAAGACCTTTAAGATCATCGAGTCCAACTGTAAACCTAACACTGCCAAGTCCACCACTAAACCATGTCCCTAAGTGCCATGTCTACACATCTTTTAAATACTTCCAGGGATGGTGACTCAACCAGTTCTCTGGGCAGCCTGTTCCAGCGCTTGACAACCCTTTTGGTGAAGAAATTTTTCCTCACGTCCAATCTAAACCTCCCCTGGCGCAACTTGAGGCCATTTCCTCTCGTCCTATCGCTTGTTACTTGGGAGAAGAGACCGACACCCACCTTGCTACAACCTCCTTTCAGGGAGTTGTAGAGAGCAATGAGGTCTCCCCTCAGCCTCCTTTTCTCCAGGCTAAACAACCCCAGTTCCCTCAGCTGCTCCTCATAAGCATCCACAAACACTGTATTTAGGGGTATCAGAAGGTACATTGCTGCCTTTTCACTTCAGTATCTGTTTGCAGACCTGTTATCCATTAATTTATTTAACCCCCTTTTGAAAGTGCTGGAGCTATCTACCACTGGAAGCTATGGAGGTAATAAGTTACAGAAGTCCACTCTTGACTCTAAAGAAGCAATTTATTTTCTTTCCTTTTTAACAGATTTCTTAGTGGTTTCAAGAAGTGCCCAATAATTACAGAATTGTGAGATTTGGTGAATAACTGTTCAGCATTCAACTTATTTACCACACTTGATCAGTCCTTTCCTCTCTTACTCTTCTCCTCTCCAGACTGAAGAGTTCCAGGTTTTCAGTGTCTCCTTAAGAGTACTCCATCCCTTTCATCACTTCAGTTGCCATTCTTTAACTGTTGTGTCTTAAGATGAAGAGGCTGAGTTCATGCAGTATTCAAATGGTGGGTTTGCCAAGACGTTATATAGAAGATGAATTAGGCCTTCCCTCTTATCCTTAGTACAGTGGCGGTTTTTTGGCTGATGTTTCACACTGATGGTTTTCCAAAATCACTGGTTCCGTGCAGGGTCGGTCCATGTGCAGTCTTGACCTGAGCTGCCAAGTTGCATGCTTGGAAGGGGCTCTGTGAGGTCTTGTAGAGGAGTCTTGCTCCCAAGCCAGCCCCATGACCATGCACTGGGAAGGTGATCTGGACGGCTCTGATCTGGGGGTTTTTTGGTGATGTTTTACAGTTGCTCTTACAGCTGGGAAGTGGGAGAGCGTTTTTATCGCCTGTGCTGGTTGGCCTGGCTGTGTGCACATGTGACTTCCATTTTGTGTAGACTGATGTTACCTGCTTGAGTGGGCTACTGGGGACAGTGGAAGAGGACAGACTTGGACCTGTCCCCATGCTGAGAGTATCTGTTAGCTCCTTAACAGCAGTACAAAGCAATGAGTGTTGTTTTCTGCTATTGGTAGATAAAGCTGACGCTTCAGGATACCTTTTGTCTCTGACTTGCTGCCTCGAAGGAGTCATCTGAGAGGCAAATTCCACATGCTTGTCTTTGAGCACGGTACAGGTTATACTATTAACGCTGGCATAGGCCTTAGGCTTTCTCCCCCTGCCTGGGCTCTAGGTCACGTGCCAGAGAAGGGGGGGAGTGATCCCATCCTTCTGAGAGAAGGATGAGGAGCTGCCTTCCTCTGCAGGAAGGTACCCATCATCCTGCCCTATTTCAGAGTAATAAGGATGGCCCAGGGTCTGATATGGCCCACTGCAACTTATGAGTACATGTGTTTTACAGAAAAAAGAGTTTGAAGGTCTTTGTTTATCAATATTAGTGTCAACATCTGTGTCTGATTGGATTGTGGACAACAGCAAATCTCTAGCAGGTGTGCCATTGCTAAATTAAGGTAGCATGACCTGTCGGCTTCAATGCTGTGTTCCCATTTAGATAGCCTAAGGATTACACTAGCCCTTTTAGCTTGTGTATTTCACTTGGGGATTACATTCAGCCAATTATCCCCTTTCTCTGAGTCTTTTTCTAACTAGCCTTGCTAATATTCCAACCTTTTGGGGGCAGTCAGGTATATGTAAGATGACAACAAAAAAAGACTTTGAAGACTTTCCCAGTTTCTACCCAGAAGAAGGAAAATCAGGTTGCCTATGTTTTTTCCTTAACTTGTGCTCCATTGTGTGAAATTCTTTTTCAGCGCTTTTTATCTTTTTGCACTTCACTGTAGATGTTTTAAAATACTTTTATTAGGACTACAGGCGAAGTGTTGGGTGACACAATCAAATACATAACAGGCCAAATTTACGCCTGATGGAAACTTAATTTTATTAAGCAAAGCTACTGCAGAAAGTGATCTCTGCTTATGTCAACAAAGCTAAATTTGCCCTGTTTCTCAGTTAGCTAATTTGTCATATGATCTTTAAATAGATATGCATATAAACATGTTTACATGTACTCTCCTTTTTTCTTACAGAAGTGAACTACTAAAGAAAATAAATCATGCTGTGATGTAAGAAGAAATTATTTTAATAGTTGCAGCATTCAAAAGTATTTGTGAAGTAGATCAATACATGTAGCTATATAAATACATGCTGCAAAGTGTTCAGCAAGGAGAAAACAATGAGCTAGCAATCTAGATTTATATTTTTTTTTTTTAGTGAAGAACCATTCAATGAGCTTCTTTCATTGAATGGTTCACAAGGAGGAGGGAGGAGTGGAAGAAGAAGATATTTAGCGGTTTTTTTTGTCATGGTGTTCATTGTCTGTATGTCTGAGAATTCAAAAATGTGGTGGCCTCAGCTGAAGTTTTCCATAGACGCACTTTGGGACAACCCAGCATTTGGTACAACAGCTGAAGCTTATGACATTTTGCTAGTGGAACAATGCATAAATAATTTGGAATAGTCTGTGTAAGCAATGCTTGTTTAGTGTAAATTGTGGGTTGTTGTTGCCTTATTTTACAAATTGTGAGCTAGCTCCATCTCACAGAAAAGAAAAAAAATTAACAAAAAAAAAGTTTTGCAACAACACCTACCAACAAGCTGTGACTTATGCAAACCTTTTTATTAGTATCATTGTGAGCTATTTTTAAGAGCAGAAAATAGACAATGCTTCTGCATAAGCCACTATTCCTTCTGTACCATACCACTTACCTTGGTTAACTCTTCCTGGCCTCTTATTAAATGATGTCATCTTCCACACATGCAATGTTTTGAGTATGGCTGAATTTGTCCGTTGGAAGATGCCTCAGCTTGAGATTGCTGTGGAGGCTGGAAGCATTCCCTCATGGAAGGATCCCTGTCAGGCTGGGACCCCACACAGGTAGCAAGAACCTGAGACCTGGGTCAAAAGTTTCTCGTCCGGCTGCCGTGCCGTGCTGGGATTGCTGACATACATACGTGATTGCTGACGTACCCAGTTGGCTGAACTTCATGCATGCCTTTATTTTTAACTTAGTAGATTTGGTGACAGGCTGCTGCTTGTAAAGTAGCTCCTGTCAAAAGTTTATTTGTAATCTTTTTTCCTGCCCATGAACACTTAGATCTACAAATTGGGGTTGATGATATTTCTTCTGAAACCTTTTCTTTTGTTTCTGAAACTACCAGTTTAGGACACTAGCCATGTAAAATGTGGGAGTATCTGGTGAGGAGGACAAAGGCTTCTGAAATATTTGGTGTATTTTAATGGGAAGGAGATGCAAAACGTGAAATTGTTTTAACTTAGTTTTGTGACAGCTCCTCAGGCTAAGAAGCCATGTATACTCAAATGATTAGTCTTTAAACTAGGCTGTGAAAATGCCTCCTTTATGCTTATTTTTGCATTTCTGATGTTGTAAGGTGCTTTTGATGAAAGTGCATACACATTCACGTTGCTTTGAGCAGTAAGAAAGATATAACAGCCTTGACTGGCTTCCACAACAGCTGTCAAAAGAATGATGATGGGTTGCTTGTGAACTCAGTACTCAGAGTCAGCCTGTAGGAAAACTGCTTTCAATATGTCTGAGAACATCCTGGTAGCGACTGGACCTGTTGTGTGCAGCGAGTCCGGTGTTCACACAGTTGTTGGGGAGAGTCTGTTGATTCACACGTGCCTCAACTTGCAACTGTGTTCAAGGCCAAAGATGCACAAAACCAAAATGTTTAGTTAAGGTAAATGGCCTTCAGTGTCAGGCTCCCTTAACTTCTGTGTCATACCTGCAGCTGCAAAAATAATCCTTTGGTGCTTCTCTGTGGGGCAACATTGAGTGGACGCTGCATCAGTGTGTGCTGGTCATTTTTGAATGCTACACTTTTGCTAGTCATGAACAGCTCTAACAGTCATGCTTCCCTGACTTCAGTATATATTAAAAAAATAAAAATTGGCACATTTGTGTTTATCTTCTCCATTGGCTGTAGTTGCTCTTACCTGTTTTAATCAGCCTGTGCTTTTAAATGGGAGCAATCTCTAGTTGCATAAACACAACCTAGCCTCAGGTTGGGGATCTGTTGGCATTACCAATCACACCATTTTTTCTGGGTGGAAAACATGGTCCCAAAGGAATTCATGCAGCTTTTCTTTGGTGCAGGCTGCAGTTAGGAAGCCCACATAGAAACACGGCCTTTTGCATTGTTCTGGGGACCATTTATGTTTTCCAGCCTTTTAACTGATCTCTGGTGTGAAGAGTGGTTCAGAAGCTGTAGGAAAGATAATTCCTCCCCTCTGTCAGTGGTCTTGATGTACTGGCTGGTTCAACATGACCTGGTTTTGGGATTGAGCTTCCCAGTGGGTGTGCAAGCCTAAACAATGAATTCTGAGCTTCCTGGCCCAAATCTGTCTGAAGTGACTAATTATAACCTGATTCACAGGTGCAGTAATGAGCTGTCATTAACCTGATGATTCGTAAAGGTCAGGTTCTTCACGGGGAAGGAGTAACAGGCAGATGGCAAGTACGACATTGCCAAAAAAACGAAACAAAAAAGCACCAAGCGCCAAAGCCAAACCATCATGTGCTCCTGATGGAGCCTAGTGAGGCTGCTATCCAGAACTGCTTCTTGAAGAGGTTTTTTGATTCCACCCCCACCCCCAAGAAACATGGGGAGTAATGATGCTGTGCTGCTTCTGAAAATATATCCCAGCATGTCAAAGGAAGACCCAGCCTGAAGGCTCTGACAGCTGGCGGAGGTGGGATCCCATCTCGGCACTGTCACTGGAGCCGTTCAGGTGTGACACCCCCCCAGTGCCTTCACACGAGTGGAGCAGGTTGAGTAACTGGCTCCTGCCTGCGTGAACCTGCTTGTGAATGACTACCTCCTTTCTTCCAAAATGTGTCTTCAGCTTCAATGAAACATGGTGGCAGTGACAGATTGAGGATGAAAATGCCCACCTATATGGTGTAACCGTCTGATGTGCTGACAGAGGAAAACAAGACACTGCTATATAATAGTTTGTGCAAATTTGATCATGTTAATTGCTGTCTGTCTTTAGAGAGACAGATCTGGAAATGGAGGAGATGCAAGGGTGTGGGGGAAAGAGTAAGGAGAAGAGGAGATTTTAGGTGGGGAACCCGTGGTTTGGGGTTCTGAAACCGAGGAAAAATAGCACAGAAACCAAAGTTGAAGTTCAGCTAGAAAAAATAAACTGGTGGAATTTCAGGTGGCTTTTGAAATGAAAAGTTTCTGCAAATACAGAAGCCATGTGGAAAAGTCCTGAAGAGGTGTGAAAACAGGTGGCTTTGAAAGTAGAAACCATTGAATTCAGCTACTGCACACTGATAGATGTCCAGTTATAATTTTAAATCAGTAGATTATTTCTAAATGTTCCTTTCAGAAATGAACGAGGATGTGGAAAGCTCATTAACTATGGGGAGCGCTTAGGAAGGAAGGGAGGTAATTAGTTCTGCAGTTTCTCTGTCGTACTTGTTCAGACTGCACAAACTCGTAATGGCCTTTTCCGTGTGCAGACAGTACAGCGAGATCTTTCCCTAATGTACTTTCTAGAGGAACAGCAAGAGAGAGAACTATATATCTATCTATATTGCTGCAGTCTGCCCAGTACAGTGGGATCCCTCTTCCTGCTCTCCATTTGCTGACCAGCATCCCACTTGGTTCCCTTCCTGAGGAGTGAAAGGTGAAGGGAACATTTGAAAGCACCTATATTGTCTGATAAATGAGTGATAATGAAATCGCACGACCGACACGTTTTTGTTTCAAGCAGTAATCTTTTCAATCATACAACTCCCTGTCAAGTAAAGCTTGCTGCGGCTGGTGTTATGTTGTCAAAGCTGCTGCTTCATTAGAGAAGTCTTTCTGTAGGATGTCTGCATGGATGGCTGAAGACTTTTGGACTGAAGCCTGAAGTGTTCTCAAGACAGGTTGGCAGTTGGAGGCTGTGGATAGTGCAAATGTAATTTGAAGCCTTGCACATGTGCAGAATGGCAAAAGCATTTGTGTTTTCCAAAATCTGTTCACTTTTAATGGATGAGAATATTTGTAAGATGAGACTAATGATGCCTGCTACTTGCCATATATTTTTAGAACGTTTTTGTCTCAGTTTTTCAGACCATTATTTAAATTTTGCAAGTTTTTAAAAAGGTATTTTTAAAATTGGTTGGTATCTGTGCATTTCAAGAGCTTACAACATAACATTTTAAATAATTCTTGACACCTGTTCCTCTCACTGTGAAGATGAGTGGTGTTTGACTCCAGTAACAATGGCAGAATTCAACGTTCATGCATTAAACTGTGGTTTTGTTCTAATTTTGTGGTTACCCACTTGCAATACGGAATCCCTTTTCATTTATTACTGTGGGGAAAGTCGGGGCTCTGAAGAGTTTTCCTGGCAGGCATTGCAATGAATATACAACACAAAGGCATAAGTAATGCAACAAATTTGATACTAAATTATTTAGTAGTTCTAAGATGAAATTGAGCTGTCGGTGACAGGAAATGGCTAAACCACACTTCTCCTTCCAGTGCACGGTATTTCCCCAGATCCTAAGTGCAATGTGCAATGAATATTTTGAATCTTGCAAAAGGGCATAAGTTTGGTTTTCTCTGGCTGTGGTTGTATTATCTCAGCTGTGGAAACCGTGGAGGTTCCGGTGCTCCCTTTACCTAAAAGGGAAAAAATTCTTCATCTGTATCATTTCACATTGTTTCCATTTTCTTTGTAGGGCGGAAGAAGTGCCTGCAGCTCAGCAACCTGCAAAGCAACAGACGCAAGCCAACGGAACAGGTAATCTCGGTCAGATCTTTACTAGCAGTTTGATTCAGTCAGATTTTTCTTTCGTTTGAACTTCAGAAGACCAAACCTTGCTGAAAAACTTGCTTGGTCCTTAAGCAGGCTTCTGAAAAAGCTGAATATGAAAGACCATTTGAGCAGCTTCTTACCTCTCTGTATATGATTCTGCATTTACTTTTTGTAGTTGACTTTGCACACCTAAGCAAGGAATTTATTTTGTATTGTAAAGCCTTTAGGAACGTAATGAAACCTGTTGCCTGACTTCATCATTCTTGCATGCCTTGCTGATCCTTGACTTACCAGAAAACAGGTGTAATACATAGAAAAGATGTTCTGTTTTGTTCTCAACTGCAAAGACTTTTATGCCATTAACCATATTACTTCTTCCTTTTTTTTAAAAGAAAAGACATTCTGGAGAAGGAATAAGCTTAAGAGTTACTCATTTTTTTTGGACACCTCCACTGTTGTCTACCTTTCTCAAGCTGCTGCTTATTATGAATTCAATAATACAGTGATATCTGGAAGAACTAAGGCAACAGGCAGATTCTCAATCTTTCAGTACACTTAAGCTTTCCTCCCCACACCTCTTGATTGAGACAACCACTTAGGCTTTTAAATCTGCGGATTAAATTTGAAGTTTCTCCTCTTGTACTCCCATAATGTCAATACTTTCTGTTATGTGAACTACAACCTGCCATTTTTTTGTCTTGTACGCTCAAAGTTTCTTTCTCAGTACTATCTGATGTATTAGTGTGTGGGAAGCTACTTCATTTTTTTTTTTTTTTTTTTAATTTTCAAATGTAAGTGTTGTCTCAGCTGTAAACTGCCACTAAATTCCTTGTTCTTCTAGGTATCACTGCCATTCATTAATAAATAGTTTGATTCTGTTTTCTGAGCACCGATTGCTTTTTCTCACATGCTTAAAAGCACCATTTTGGCTGGTTTAGTTGGCTGATTAATTTTTCATGCCTCTGTTTAATCATATCTTAATTTTATGGAGTTCTGTACTAAGTTTGGTCCTGGAATAGTTGTGACCAGTGTCCTCTTTGTGACATTGCTGTATTGTCCTACCTTTCCAAAGAATAGTTAGTCTATTCCTTCTAGACAGTGACTTTGAGTTACAGGTAAAGCAAAAGGTGATTGTTTCGTTCTTACCTATGCTGCCTTAAGGCTTTTACCATTATATTATTTCCATACGCCCATATATTTATGGTTTTTTTTCCACTGAAACTGACATACAGAAGGTGTGCGTCGCTTCATTACTTTGCCATATAAGACTTTCCAGGCAGCATTATGACTATATATTCCATATACAGAAGGTGGCATATACAGCATAATTTCTGTAGCTAGCCTGGCTTTAGGTAAAAGAAAGTGCATGGGTTTTTTTTATATATATATATACACACACACACTCTTTACAGCCTGTAAATGGTTGGGAAGTGGTAGTAAAAATGCCTCTTGCAGAATCTTGCTTAAGTTTCCACCTTCCTTTCCTGTCAAATTCATGTGGCTGCAAGGTGGTTGTCCTGCTCTCTGTTCAGGAGTGTTTTGCTTTACACTTGCTTTTCTTGAGGTGACCCTTCAGCACAATAGGAGCGCTGAGATTTGTGTCAGTCTTTTGTTTACAGGAAGCTCTTAACCTGAAAATGTTTTTACAGTGTTTGCTAAAAATTCTCGTTTGTTAGGATGTTTAAGTAATGTCTGTACTTCTGGTAATAAGATGCTTCCATGTGCCGTACTTAGAGCAAAGCAGGAGTCACCTTTAGTCTTATTTTACCAGCTTAGTGCAGTCAGGGTTTCTGTGCAATGGCAGAAGTAAATTGCATAGCGAGTTACCCTGAAGAGTGTTGGTGAAGGACAGGAAAGCTGTGCAAAGTCTGCTTCCCAACGAAGGATGGTGTGCAGGAACAGGGGCAGGCTTTGTATGAAGATGTCTTCTAGTATTATCCTTATACTTAGTGCTTCTTTTTTATAGATAAGCGTAGTCACACAGTCTGTTCGAAAATCCAGAAGTGGTTTTGTGACAAATTTGGGGAGTATGTTGAGGACTTCAGATTTCAGCCAGAAGAGAATACAGTGGAAACGGAAGAGCCACTTAGTGCTAGAAGGTAAATCTCTAATGTGATTGTGAGAAATTGTTGGCTTCTTTACAAGTTGCTTTTTTTTTTTTCTTTTTTTTACAACCTTTTACATGGTTTAAGCAAGTGTTTGCATAACAAGTAATAAAACTGAAAGTACAGAACCATCTCAAAAGGTTTGTGAATGCTTTGGCCAAAACATGAAATTTGAAGTTTATCTGCTGTCTGAGGTAGAATAAGAGTTATATTATTTACCAGGTTCCATCATATGCCTCTTGGAAACTGTGGACAAAGCCTTAGTTAGGCTGGAGAGCTTTTACATTTCAATTTTCGGTCTGATGCAAGGTGGGCTGTATTAGTTACTAGAAACACATTTCATAACAGGCAAGAATGAAGCTTTATGCACAAACATCTAATTTATAACTGTGAGCAGTATTTCAGGGACCAAACGCACACGACTGTGCACTACTTGCCTATTTAACAAATTGCTTTTATCCATTATTTTTCAGGTTGACTGAAAATATGAGAAGATTAAGTAAGTACTTAGCAGCATTTTATTTTCTGGAAGTAAAAATAGTTCTTAGTAACCCTATTGGGAGGATTGCTGCATTTTAAAATACAGTGTTTTGAAATACTTCTGCCAGTCCATAAGCAGAAATGATTCTGAAATCCTGAATTAGTGTTTGGAGTGCAAAGTAACTTAGAGGAGCAGTGGTAGAAGCTTGCCTTTAATCTTGAATTACATAGGGTATCTCTGAACTAAAAATGTAATGTTAATTAAAATGTGTAAGCATGTAATGAATGAGAACAGAGTATTTGTCCAATGGCAAAAGTAATAGTTTCATACACTTATGCCTGAGCTGCTTGTAGTTCGCTTGCTAGTCTATTAGCTTATGCTTTCAAAGAAGGAGGGGTTGGACGATGCGCACCCTGAGTGTGTCTTGTATTTCTTTCTCTTGGATAGCTGATAAATTATTTTGGAAGGTGGAGGATGCAAGATGGCAGGTTAAACAAAGTAGTTAAGCCCTCCAAAAGTTCTGTGCAGCCTGAATTGCTAGCCTGATAAAAAAATGTCTGATTAGTGCTCCAAATTGTTAAATTATTATAGGGGGGAGGTGAAGTTGAAAGAAGGGTCTGTAATCTCCATGTAAGGTCAGTTTTGTTCTCCTTATTCTAATACTGGTATTCATTCTAGTTTCATTTGGGAGAATAGTTGTGACCTGTTCTCCATGGTGGACGTGCATTGCCTTCAGAATAGCTTTAAAAAAAGCAGTATTAAGCTTAAGCTTTGAGTGGTTCTTAACTTCCACTAGGTAAGCCACAAAATCTAGGTCCCTGTTGTCCAGGGATGCCTGACGACTGCCTGGAGCTCCCGAGACCCTTGGTTGCTCTCAAGACCCCTGTTGTTGCCAGCAGTTTCCAGGTGTTGACCTTCCCTGCAGGTTCGTTGTAGGATGGTGGAGCAGCACTTGAGTCCGTGACCTCCTCCAGTGCCTTGAGCGTGCCCTTCCACTTACTTCATCTGCTGCTTTGGTTGTGCCACTGGTGCTCAAGGAAATCTAGTTCTAGTTGTTTAATTACTTCCCATGGGGAATATATCAAGGATAGCTGAATTTCAAGCCAAACAAACTAGGACAGCAAGTCACAGGCTGTCTTGAGGAAAGCTTTCAAAGTTGTGAGCTGTACTTCAAATGAGGGTGGGTACTCCTGGGGCCCCCTGTGCAAGCGGAGTCTTCAGTCTTCTCAGCAGGAAAGGCAAAACCAGCGTGTTCCAGCAGAGAAAGCAAAGGTCTTCTTGCAGCAGCCCTCTCCTGTTTTCTTGGGTCCCCTAGCTAGTTTGCCCAAGTGGTAAAAGAGCTTAGAGGAATAGGAAGGATAAAGGACAAGTGTTTTTTAGGGACCTGAGGAGGACCTCCTCTTGCTGTCTCTGGCTGGCTGCGGGCATCTGCGCATGGGAGTGAAGCCTCTCCCGGCACAGGTTTGTCTCCTGTGCAGTGACAATGAGAGCAAAGGTCTGCAGAGGTGGGAGACAAACGTCTTCAGGCAGCAAGTTCCTGTGTTTCTTAGCTTAGGAAGAGTAAGCAGCAAAGTGTTACCAACGGATAGACTCCTGCAGAAAAATAGCCACGAGAGATCTAACCTGGTTTTAAGCTAGCTTGGTCAAGCAACAGCAAGTTGTTCCTTGGTGGCTTGGAGTCCAGTCAGGCTGATTTACCTTGTTTTACAGTGGGATGAACTGACCTGTGCGGAGGTCTTCGGGGTGGTATGAACAGGGCTCAGAACAGACTGCTGTCAGCACCCAGGGTACCCTTTGTAAAGGATATTGATTTTTTTTTTTTTTTTTTGGTCCATACTTAAGAGTTTAGACATAATCTTTGTCTTGAATAACACTAGTTTTTTATGCATTCCTTAACTAATTGTTCAGTTACATTGATGGGTTTCATTTTTCTTAATTTGGGTAAGCCTTTTTATCATTACACGTCTTGAATATTCCTATTCATTTTCTAATTTGGTTGTTTGTCATTTACAAGTTATTTAACCACTGCCAGCTAATTCTAACAGTTGTGTTTTTTCTCCGCTTCTGTTTAGAGAGAGGTGCCAAACCTGTTACTAATTTTGTGAAGAATCTTTCTGCCTTATCAGACTGGTATTCTATCTACACTTCTGCTATTGCCTTTATTGTAAGTTATCCTATTCCTTCAGGAGTAGTAAGAACTTTTAAAATGTATTATTTACTGAAATTCATTGAAAGTGCCATATCTGAGTAGGGGTTGTGCTACAGTTTAAGTCAAATCAAATAATGGAATTTCATTTAACACAAAATACCAGTAGCTGTCACTTCAATTATATTTCAAAGCCACTTAAATTGTGTATTCTGGGTTTATTCTAGCATAGTTTTGTAACTGCTAAAATAACTTATAACAATCTGGGCATTGTTCTCTCATTTCTTGTTTTCTGTCTCCCAGTCCTGTAATTTGGTAGTTACTTCAGCCTCTGCAAAATCTCTTGTTGTCTAGGGCTGAAATGCTGATAGCTGCTATGTTTGATAAGAAGCTATTGTTCACCATCCGTGCTCTTTGCAATTCATTAGGATCATACTTACTGATGAGAGACAAAATGCCTTGATTTGAGTATCATTTAATGTGCAAACATCAGGTCTGTGAGCTAAATTCAAGCATTCCCATGCTATGTAAGGAGGTTTGCATGCCACAAAGTGACATAACTATTTAGTGGAGTTTTGATTTGTTTTCCTTCTCATTGTTAATTAAATGATCTAAATTGTTTTGGTCACGGTGTATATGAAATATTTTGATATCAAAGGAAATTATTCCTGGTAGTTGTAGCTGAATGAACTTGTTTGGTGAAAATTTCACACACCTTTTCATTAAATGGTGCCTCCCTGTAAGTTATAGAGCCCTATTTAATGCTACCTTGCACAGCACAGCTGAAGGAATATTGAAGAGGAGACTTTCCCCTCCCAGTGCCCTGTGTCTGTCCCTTCTCCTAATCTACTGATTTTTCTCTCGCCTCTCCTGACAAACCCATTCTCCAGATAAAAGCTGAAAGAAGGAACTTCAGCTGTTGTTCAGAAAGCTCTGGGACCTCGGAGCTGGAGTAATGCTTCATTTGGGGTTATCAGTGAAAAGCCTAACATCTTTCGGCAGGGAGGCTGTAGTCTCTATATTTTCAGAAGCTAGGAAAGGGACAGAATACCTTTTGAAGCACTTTGTGTTTGTACTTGTTAGGTAATATAAAACCTGTTTTCTTGCAATCTTTTTAAGCTTGGTAAAAATACGGGATTTAATTGACCTGAAATAATAGAGCAAGAGTTTATCCTGTTGCCCCGTATGGGGCTAATTGTTATAACTCTTCTACTATGCCATTGCTTCAGCTGCCCTAGGTGAGGTTAGACCATATCATAGTCACACAGCAGATTCACAGACTTTAGGGTTTACTTTTTCTTCTTCCTACTCCTTCATGTAATTGCAGTGTTGGGAATAATAAATACTCTTTCTGAAGCAGCTGACAACTAGTTAAGTGTCATCTCTGGAGGTTTGGTTCAATCTTAGTTTCGACTTTACATGAATGCAGTGCTGTTGTCAGTCATGGTATGGCTAAAATTTACTGATTTTTGTGATCTGAATTGCATGATTCTGAACCCAGTAGTACAGTGGGAAACAATATTTCATGCAACTCACTGTACTCCAGTTTATAATCCACATCTCTCTTTTTTCTTTTTTTTTTTTTTCTTTTTTCTTCTTAATCTGCAGATTTACATGAATGCTGTATGGCATGGCTGGGCCATTCCTATGTTCTTATTTTTAGCAATTTTGAGGTTGTCCCTAAATTACCTCATAGCCAGGTATTTACTTAAATACTAGATTATTCTCTTGTAACGCTTTGCTTGAAAGATGTTTTATTATTCTTGCATTGAGTTGTAAACCGTTACTTTTTCTAACATTGTGAGTTAAGTCTAACAAAGTGAAATTCAAACTCTAATATCCTTAATTTCATTGCTCAATTTCTATAATTTTTTACTATTGTAAGGAATTATCGTCGTATCCTGTAACTTGGGTCATCATAAATGATGCTGCATGTTCTCAGACAAATCCTTCAGCACGTTAAAATTCTAAAATAAAATTCTGCAGCATTCAGAGTAGTTGGAGAACGTCACCTTAAATAGTGGAGCCTGCTGCTTTTCCCTGGAGAGAATTTTCACCTAGGCCTAAAACTGCAGTTTTGCCTTTTTCAGTAGCTCTTGGTATACTTTATCCAAAGTTTCTTCCAAAGTAAATTCAGTCTCTATTAAAAATTAAGACTTTTTAAAAAATGTACATTTTCTGTACTGAGAGGATCTTTTTAAAAAGCTATTTTAGGCTGATGGTGTTTTCCCCCTTAAAATGGTAGAGAGGACATTAATGTGCATATTTCAAAATAATTTTCTGACTACTTAATTGATATGTATTGTCTGACACTATTCTTTGAAAATTGCCGGTAGCAAATAGGCTCCTGAATGTAGTTTTGTTCACATGAAAAACAAGAAAAAAAAATTCCTAATTATTTACTCTGTGCACAGAGTTCGCTTTTGTTGTAAAACCCACAAGCAGTGATTCTGTGTAGTATCTACCTAGCTAATACTTTTTTCTTCTTAAATGTATATAGCTTTAAAGCTGTCTATGGTTGGCCACTTGTGCTTTTGTTATATTGTGGGATTTCATTAATTTGGGGATTATTTTATAATTTTTTTAGGCCGTTGTGCTTATTACAGAAGGCTACTTTTTAACCTCTTACAAATAATCCGTGTTGGCAGGTGGAGAAGTAGTACTTGCCCTCTTTAACTATTTCCATAACTTCTAGGGGTTGGAGGATACAGTGGAGCATTGTGCCTGAAGTTTCTGAACCCATGGTAGGTCTTTGATCGGTTTGACCTGTACGCCTACGTTAAAAGTTGCACCTTTAAAACCTTCCTCTGCGTTTATGCAGGTAGTTGTGAAAGGAAGGAAGAGCAGGGTGCAAATAAAGACACTACAACTTTTTTCTTGCTCTTGCAATTTAGCAGCACTCTTAGGTTTGTGTGTTTCACCCTAAAATATTACAAATTTGAATCACATTTCTGGAATCAATGTTAATACGCGTGTGGTCATAGACTGAAAGCCATCGTAACTGTCCTGCTCCAAAGACTTACTGTGTCTTTCACAGCCTCATATTAATATGTTTGCATATACCATGGAGGTAAAGCATCGAGAACTAAAGATAACCAGCAATGAAAGACATAAACAGTAGATCTGAAACAAGGGAGGAACTTGATAAATTTAGAGCCTGCTTAAAGTGAGAGGACTATTGCCAAGCATGTTGAGGGGTTGCCTTGTCATGAGGAGTTTTGTAAAATACCAGTTTCAGTTGAGCTGAAAATTAACGGGTTGTCTCTTTCTTGCCCAAGGAACCTCCAAAAGAGGACCTGACCGTGTCTGAAAAGTTTCAGCTTGTTCTAGACGTGGCTCAGAAGGCACAGGTACTGTGCTGCTCTCAGACCTCTCCGGCTGCTTCCTTAGAAACAAGGAGGTTCATAGTCCAAGTAGTCAAAGGACTTTGTTATGCAGCATGTGAAAACAAACACTCAAACAAGCAATGCTTTTCTCGCATCGGGATCTTTACCTACGAGCAATAGAGGTCTCAGTAGGATTCCTAGAGCTTCTGAAATGGCACGATGCTTCAGAGAACTGGTTGAGGTTCTCCAGTCACAGCTCTGAGCAAGGTCTGGAGGGTAACAGAAGCAGCTTCTGACAGTTTTTGCCCACATGAGCTTCTGATAATGTAGATCAGGTGGCGAATCTTACCAATGTACTGGAGTGTGGATCCATATCCCAAATCTGCTAGTCGCAAAACTGGTGTAGGAGAAGGCTACTGTCTGTTCAGCTGTGTTAATTCAACAGTTTGTACAGCATCACTGAAATAGCCTGTTTTAAACACCACCCCCGCCTCAGCCCTGAAATCTGCTGCTTGTGTGGGAGAGGGTGAAGGAAGGTTTTCTCCCAGCTCCATCAGTCTGATGAGCTACCCTAGCAGCTGAGTGACTGCACCATCCAGTTGACCTGCAGCCTTGTGCCATATCTAACAACGTGCCGCTGCTAAAGTAGCTTACCTTTCTCTTGCCAACTGTGTACGCTCATCTCCTTTCTCCTGGTCATGGTGCATATGTTTATACAAACACCTTTGGAAATTTATTGGGAAGATGAAATTTACAGGTGCTGTGACAGCAGGGATCGGTCAGAGAAGATGGCTGAATCACCCTCTTGGTCCTGAGCAAGGGTCAGTTTGCATCAACAGTTGTTGGAATTACGTGGAATCTAGTCACTCCAAGGGTGTATTATAAAAGCCTGATGGTGTGTTTCCAAAGAAGCTAACAGTCCAACAATTGATGAACTCAGTGACCATTTCCTGAAATTTCGGTGCTCAAAACATGTGAAGAAACTTCCCATTTTGTTACCTACTGACAGAAGGTCTTAACTTTTAGATTGACAGCTTAATTTAAAACTTTTGCAGTGATGTAAACACTTTCCAGTCGTGACAGTGGGGTCAAATAGCTTCTTCACTTCTAACAATCAATCATGAGTTACAGAACAAGGTGTTAAATGAGATGGAAGTCATTGAGTATTGCTGTTCTGTTCTGTATTTACTCGGTTGTGAAGTACGTAAATGGCTAAAAATGAGTTAAAAAAAATGACTTCTGGGAATTGCTTATTACCAACAGAGTAAGATAACTCTGTTGGTTTCTATTATGTGGACAAAAAACCAAAATAATGCAGGACTTGGTTTTAATTCTCTTGCTTCTTATGCAGAACCTTTTTGGCAAGATGGCAGACATACTGGAAAAAATTAAAAAGTAAGTTATCTGACATGAGTCTTTTTTTCCTCTTAAAACAAGACTTGACCAATGTCTGGAACGCTAGTAATAAAATTTTGTTTCTTTTCTGTTTTCAGCTTGTTCATGTGGGTCCAGCCAGAAATAACACAGAAGCTCTACATTACTCTATGGGCAGCTTTTATTGCATCCTGCTTTTTGCCCTACAGGATTATTGGGCTTGCAATGGGTAAACGCAATAAATAATTGACCTGTTACAGTCTAGACTTAATGCGTTAAAACTTAACATGATCTTCAGAGGGAGAATTTTAGAGTTTAAGACAGAAAACCCTGCATTAATAAATAATACAGTGTTTTAAAGTATTTTCATTGTGCTTGGCTTCGTTTGTCATGTGCATTTCAAAAACCATCTCTGAATACATAATATAATAGAAAAAGACTGGATAATGCATTCGCTCCTTGAAGAGGGAAAGTTTATGATGCGCTGTTAGCTGAGGTCTTCAGACTGTCAGCTATAAGGCTGCCGGGAGGTCCTATATTTTGGGGTTTTTTTGCTCATACATCCTTGCAAATGAAATATGTGGGACCACATAGAAGGCACAAAGATGGCAGGGTTGAAAAAAAAATGAAAGGGTTAATGGGACTACTTGTAAAACTTGGAGGATAGGCTGGACAAAATGAACAGATTACTGTGGGTGAAGTTGCAGATACTTGAACTCTCAACTGGGAGTTGGGAAAAGAGGGTTCTCGCTACAGCATGAGACTGTCGTTTCTCTAAGATATGAAGCCATGTCCTGTGAACAAAGAATTCTCATTTTTATTCATTGAAGTAATGATAATGATCAAATGAGTATTACTTTTAGTGGCACTGAACTTCGAACTGCGTTAGCTTGAACATAAACTTAGGTTTGCTTGACATGGCAATTGAATTAGATGTGTGAGGAATTTTTTTTTTTTTACTCTGACTCGTAGAAAGAGATCTGAATTGCATTCAGTAAAGTTTTGAGAGAGTATTCCAAGCCCTTTTTAACCTGGCAGAATGCAAGGAAAAATCTTGTATAAGTTGACATACTGGACTGGAAGATAGAGTTTAATGTAGTACATGAGAGCCCTCTGTTGCCATTTAAATTCTTGCAAGGAGCTGCACAGTTTAATGCTCTCGTGTGTTTTCTGTTTTGGAAGTATATCATGTGTTCAGAATGCTTCTGGTAATAAGGAATGTATGTTTGAATTATTTTAATGTTCTTCTGCATAATAAGAAGCTACATAAGTGGTTTAAAAGAACTGGGGATGGGCAGGAAGGAATCTGGGCAGGGGAGGAAAAGAAAAATAATTTCCTGCCTTTGGAAGAAGAATCAAAATATTAAAACCAAGAGAATGGTTTAGCATTATGACTGAAGATACTTAGAGAATTTGGTTTCATTCATGAACTTGTTAAAACGTGTTGTTCTCAATGTCCCTTCAACATGCATACTAAAGCGATGTTTTTTTCAGGACTGTATGCTGGAATCAAGTTTTTCCTTATTGATTTTATCTTCAAACGATGCCCTAGACTAAGAGCTAAGTATGATACTCCATATATCATCTGGACAAGTCTCCCGACAGATCCTCAGCTCAAAGAAAGGTCTAATGCTACAGTGTCGAGACGGGTAAGGCTACTAAATCTTTTTGTGCCTCTGTTCCCAACATCTGAAAATCAGATCCCTTTCTCCCTTCCCCTTTTCCCCAGTGACTAGAGCACATTAAAGGGGAGGTTAATTAAATCCTAACAGTCAATGTTAGGTTTTTTGGGTTTTTTTTATTATTTTCAAGATCCACAGAGTTTTTGTATGGGTTCTGTTTCTTGTTTAAAAGGAATCTATTATCAAAATGTGTATATAAACATAAATATATATATATCTTGGAAATTGTATGAAGCTAAATGCACAAAAATAACACCATCCATATTCATATCAATTTCTGTAACATACATTCTGTGTGATTTTATTGTCAAAATTTGGTCTTTTTGTATTCCCTTTCTCTGTTCTCAGACATTCTCTTTTAGTTGAAATTCAGCTGCTTGTGTAGATTGAAGAACAGCTAGTTAAAAAAAAAAAAAAGGCTGGAGTATAATATGCAGCTTACTAATGGGATAAGCATTAACAGAGGTAATAAAGTAGTTTACAGATTTAGGCATTATGTCTTAGGGTTATTTGTATTAGGTGACCTTTTAGCATAGTGGTGATAAATGGCTTTTCACCATGTTGGTACTCCAACAGTAAATTTTTCTTTTGTTAAAATCTCATAGTTAAATCTTTAAGTGTTGTGTTTTGTGCATCTTTGCAAATTGTTTTGGGGCCTGATGTAACAACTGAAAAGCAAGTCATGCTTTTCCATATCCCTGAATTTGTCGGTGTTTATTAGTTTAAAAAAAAATAGTTGTAATTCAGCTTAAGTCTAATCCCATTTTAGCATTTGTTTAATGCCTCTTACCACAATATCTAATTGCATTCATGGAGTATCTGAGTACTGTCATAAGCTCCCCAACTAAAATGTGCAGCACTTAGCAATAATTCAGCTTGGGTACACAACTGGAGAGCAAAAGGGATAAATGCATGAACCCTCAGTTGTTAACCTGTGAAGAAGAAGAAGAAATACGGGGTTCTGGGGGAGATGGAGCAGTTGGTGGTAAAATGATAACTGCAGCATAATCTGAGTATTTCAGAAGGAAATAGAAGAGAAAGTCTCTGACAGAAAGTGAGTCTTTTGCTCCTGTTTTCCAAGGGACGAGAGAGGTGAATGAGTACGTAATAATACACAAAGCAAGTGATGCACAGTACAATTGCTCACCACCTGCTGACCGATGCCCCGCCAACAAGCAGCGGCCCCCCCGGCCAGCTTTCCCCAGTTTATGTACTGAGCATGACGTCATATGGTATGGAATGTCCCTTTGGCCAGTTCGGGTCAGCTGTCCTGGCTGTGCCCCCTCCCAGCTTCTTGTGCACCTCCAGCCTTCTCAGTCGGTAGGACATGGGAAACTAAAAAGTCCCTGGCTAGTGTAAGCATTACCTAGCAACAACTAAAACATCGGTGCGTTATCAACTTTGTTCTCATCCTAAATCCAAAACACAGCACTGTACCAGCTACCAGAAAGGAAATTAACTCTATCCCTGCCGAAACCAGGACAGCTCCTATTTTCCAAGGGACGAGAGAGGTGAACGAGTGCTTGGATGGAGCCATCCATAGCCTGTATTTCTCTTGCTTGCAGAAGATGGACTTAAAAGTTTCTGTGCCTCTCAAGCTTACAGGTTATCGTTTGTGTACTGCCACTGGTTGTGGCAGCTTCTTGCTGGTTCTCTCTAATCTGCCCTAGAGGTGAAAAGGCTCTGAATTGCTGAACTTGAATCCATAAAGTTAGAGAGTAATTATCCCTTCTGGCTTAAGTTTTGACAAGTAGACCAGGGTTTTAGTACTACTGTGTCTGACTTGGCGGGCTTGGCTTGTCTCCCTGGAAAGGATGTGCAGGACTGCATTATCTGCTTCCAAATGTCTTTGAAAACATTAACTTGGTCTCAATAATTTTAGACAAACTTTCTAACCCCTTGAGAGATTTCTGAGAACCTCGTAGTATAAAAAACAGATTTTTGTACAAAAAGGTAAAAACCAAATAGGTTATCATTTTTTTAATAGAAAAGGCAGAGCCCAAAAGCACGTAATGCCAGCATGTGTGCATTTGCTTTGGCTTCTTATTGTTAAACAGCGTACAAGACACCGTAAACCTAGACACAATGCAGTATTCATTGCCTATACCACCACTCTGACCCCGTGTCCTTAGAGAACAATCCTGACAACAGTATCTGATGGGTAAAGGTTGTATGTCAAAAGCTGATGACAGATCAAGTGAAAAGGAATACCTCCAGGTATTCCTACCTCCAGATTGTTGGTGACGTTTTTAGACAGTCAGGACTCTTCTAGCATTACAAATCCAATCACTTCCAGGTAGATTTAAGGCTTGTCAAAATTGGATGTAATGCTTTTCTTTTAGTAATTGAACATAGGTTGTCTCAAGCCTGGGTGGTTATGGGTAAATTAGCTGCTGCTTTTAAGGGTAGAGGAAACATTTGCCTGTTTTAGGAAGGACTAGAAGTAAGGGCAGAACTTTCTCACATCTTCAGCCACCGATGGGAAGTCGTACTGAAGTTTAAACGCCTTTTTTTAATCTCTTTATATAATGGGTAGGTAGGAAGCAATATAGCAGAGAGCAGGAATAGTCCTCATTCCAGCGTAAAAAGCATTAGACCTCTTCCCCTGACCTTTTGTATGTTTTGGGCCATGGAGCCTCACCTGGTTATGTGCATATGGAGCCAAATAACTTGTCCAAGAAAGCCTTCCAAAAATTCATCTGATCTTTACTGGCATGCAAATTGTTGGAGAAGCTATTATTTTCCTTGGTTCCAGAGGCTCAATCATTGCTAAGGGCACAGTAGAGGGGCAATAACTGAAGCAAGAATACAGTTATCATCAGCCATTTGCTTTCCATGTCAACTTTATTCTTTTTCCCCTGAGGCATCATTGTATTACAGTTACCCTAAAAGCTGGATGGTAAATACCCTCTGTCATGCCTGTTTTGTCAGTCTGGTTTCTAGTCAGCGATTGCAGCGCGCATTTTTTCATTTGCTTTGGATTTCTTTTGTTAGCGCTAAATCCTGCAAAGTGTCAAGTGCTGCCAACTTACATGCAAAAAAAAAGCAGCAGAGGCTGGTTGGCCTCCAGCAGCATCGGGCCTTTACAGAAGAAGGGCTTAGTCCTGAGGTTGCACGTTGTCAGTTTGCCAGTTGTTTAACTGCATGTGTACGGTAGGACTAAGATCGGAGCTGTTAATGCTTCGATGACAAAAGCCAGCCTTTGGAATCATGTGGTGCCCCACCAAGATGAAAAGCAAATGCAAGCAAGGTTTCCAAAAGAAACTGCCTGCCATCTTTCCAGAAGCAAAGCTTGCTTGCTAGGGCAGTCTCCAGTGGTTCAGGAGCTCTGTTTAAAAGTAGATTTTACTCAAGTACTTTGGTGTTGAGAACTCCATGCTACTTTTTTTTCCCCCCCTAAGGATGCTGACAACCATTCTGAGTTTATTTCACATGTCAACACTCTCAACATTCAGTGCATCTTCAAAGCAAAGGAAAGATCAATGGCTCTAATGCAACCTGAATAAATTGAACTGGTGTGCTCTAACCACTGATAACTCTTCTTTTTTTGATTGCATTCATTGTGTGTAGTCTCTTGGTTTGTGAGCCAGATCTTGCAGCTTCACTCAGTTCATGTTTTATTCTATGTATTATACTGTTAAATAGACTTCACTTTTTTTCTTTTGTCACTGTCACATTTGTGTTGTTTGTTTCTTTTCCTGCTAGCTGTCAGGGCATGAAAAGGTATGGATCGTAGCATGGAAAACTTCCTTTCAATTTCAGCATATTTGTTCCTAATGAGCTGATGCAGTTTTGTGTGGCTTTTTCTTTGTTTGCTCTTTTTTCTTTCTAAACTTACTCTGTGCAATAATACTTGTGCTTGGTCTGTCTCTTGAAGACAAGCCAAGTATTGGTAATATATTAACTGTTATTAGTCCCACTGGTATAGTAATCGGAGTTGAGTGCAGTGACTTAGCTGTATCTAATCAGATATACCCTTTACTATAGAAAAATGGTATTTTAAGACCGGTACATCTAGCACCATGTGCTTTCACCCCTGCAAAGGGCGTCCATCAAAGGGCAGCACTTTGAAAGGTGATCTTCAGATAGCACGTTAGAGCTTTGTGCTGTAGCAATAGTATAGTGCAATAGTCCAAAGTTAACTTCATTGAAGTAGTTAATGAAAATTGTTGCATTACAGATTTTTTTTTTTTAGGAAGAATAGTTAGCCAAGTTATTTTTAAGAGTGCAGCTTAAATGTTTCTGTTCAAATTTTGGAATAGTGTTTATTTTTCTGCAGCTTCAAACAGCAGCATCCAGAAGTTATGTGGGCTCAAGCGCCCCAACTGGAATAAGCAAAGACGAAGACACAAGTCGTTTTCATACCACCAAGAGGGGGAATTTCCATGAAGTTTTTAACCTGTCAGAAAATGAGCGTCCTTTGGCAGGTATTGTGCAACAGGAAGGCTACATTAGTAGAATATTTTCTAAAAAGCCAAGGATAGTGTAAAGTTGAATTCCCTTTCTGTGCCATGTACTGGTATAAGCTTTTGATTAAAAAGACTTGCTTCAAATTAGGATGAATGGAGACGGTCTCTTTCATTCCACATCCTTACAGTTCTTTGAAAGAATGCACAGCCTGGCGTGCCCTTTGTGGTAATGCAAATGGAGTAGTCAAGTTAAAGGGAATAATTGTGTGGGTGGTTCTTATTTTGGGTTTTTTAAAAACCAGTGTTAAAACAGATGTTATGATGTCTAAAAACACCTTATTGAGGCTTTTCTTTGTAAACACTTCTGGTTTTAGGTATCTAGAGTTTAATTTTCAGTGTTTTCTGCTGTTCTATAAGTAAACTGTTGGGGATAACGCCTGTCTCTCTCTTTCTTAAAGTAAGATTTCTTGTTATGACTTTTTCAGTGTGTGAAAATGGCTGGCGCTGTTGCTTGATTAACAGAGATAGGAAGATGCCTACAGACTACATCAGGAATGGAGTTCTTTATGTCACAGAAAAGTGAGTCATTGCACTCCACGCATTTCTTAGGAGAGAAATGCAATGGACATTAAAAAAAATTGAATCTAAAAGTAATCCTTTAACAATGTTTTCAAACAAAAATGCCTTTTCATGGTGCTTTAAAACCTCAAGAAAGCACCATAGGAGAGGGAGAGCTGAATCTGGGGTGTGGTAACACTTAACAAATGTGATTTTGCTTTGGAAAGGCTTGCATATGAATGGAGTAGCTCTATGCAGTCAGTTGTTAGTAGCTGCAGTTCTTGATGTGGATAACATACTATCTATATATATACACTAAAAAAGAAACCTAAAGGCTAAGTATATTTTGAGAGTTGTGATCAATGGCTGTTTGGCAAATACTCTTAGTTTCTTTTTTTTAAGCAAATTGAATGTATAGCTTCCTTGAAACAATGTGCAACAAAAAGAAAATAGAAATTCAAGCCTTGGTTTCAAAACTAGTACTTGATTTTTATTTTTTTTAATCCTTACTTACCCCTCAGCCTCCCAGGGCTGAATAACTATCGTCACTACTGTTTGGGTCTTGCACTGAAATTCCTTTGGAGTGTAATGAATGGAAGTAAAGCTCATCTGTATGCAATGTCACCTAGTGATGGAGACCACTATCCAGCGTTTAGAAATCTGAGCTTTTGTCTGCATCACAATAACATGAAACTAACACAGTGTTTTCCATTAATCTTCTTTTAGGATAGTAAAAGATTTATAAGCCTTTTGAGATTTGGTATTTCAACTGTTTAAGGATATACGTGCTTCCTGTGTCTTTAAAATGCTTGTCAGGTTTAACCATTCGGTGCAGTAACATAGATACAAAATTTTTTTGTGTGTGTATGCTGTATGTTCCAGGCTTTCAGACACCTTAGCCAGTTGCTAGAATTTAAGAATGTTTGCTTTAAATGAGAAGCCATAACTGAATTGCGTATTGCGTGCCTCTTTCTTCTTTTTTGAAGCTGATTTTAACCTGTGAGATTTCAAACTTCAGAAGTGACAGGAGGGATATTGAGAACTTTGTTTTAGAATACTGTATCAAAATGAGCGTTTTCTTTCCTTGTCTTCAGTTACTTGTGCTTTGAAAGCTCCAAATCTGGCTCATCTAAAAGAAATAAAGTTATAAAGCTAACGGATATAACAGATATTCAGAAGGTATGTCTGTTTTGTGTTGCAAATAGGGGAGAAAGCTGGTTTTCTGTTCAGCTAGTCATGTTTTGCTTTTCTGCTTATGATATTTTGAAAAAGCATGCCACTGATAATTTTTATAAGTAAAATGTAATTCTTTGATCAAGAATATTTCCCAGAACTGCTTGTTTAGCCATTTGGACTCACCACAAGCATGGTGGTGCTTGTGAGCATAAAACCAAAGTATTTTACTAAACCCTTATACTTATGAATTATTTTAAAATTAAAGTTGTTTCTTGAAACTCCTGCCTTGACTAGAGCTGTGTAGGCTTTAAGAAGACTTATTGTTAGCAGGTATTGTGTAATACTAACTTCAGTTTGGGTGTTGATATCAGTAGATGCACCATCTTAAAAGTAGGTGCCGCAGAGGGAAGAGGGATTCTTGTCAGTGGAGAAAGGTAAATAATTAGAATAGCCAGACTGCATCGGACTGGAGTTTCATCTAGTTGGGATCCCATCACTTAACAGATGCAAGACGTGGATGGTTGGAAGCATGGCAAGTACAATGCGATCCTTCCTCTGGTCAAGTTTTATCAGTCTGCAGTCACCAATGGCTTTATTGGTGCCTTGCATCACTCTATATGGCGTTTAATGTCACTTTTTGTTACCCTCTCTGAACTTGTCCTACTCTTAAATGCAGACACCCCTGCTTTCTCCTACATTCTGTGGCTGTGAGTGCCACAGATCAAATCATGCTGTGCAATAAATACCTCAGCCCAGTGTCTGCTGCTTAAGTACCTCCAGATTTTCAAATGAATTCCTTCTATTTATATCAGATGTCTATAAAGCAGACAACTTATGCTCAACTTGAACATTCCTGTTGGAATTAATAATTCATATTGATGGATTTTAAACATCATACTTGAAGCAATGCTGGCTTGTTGTTTAGTAGATCTTTACGGCCATAAAGGTCCTTTTGCATCTGTGTAGTTTTTTCAGTGAAGATGAGACCAGGATCATGCAGCCAAGCATAAAAATGTACTGTGCCTGGTTTTATTTGGGGGTGTGGGAAACACAGGGTGGACTCAGGGTCTCTTCCCCCTTGGGGATATTCCCCAGTTCGGCCAACTGTATTCCTTCTTAGCATTATGGACTTTCTTTAAAAAAACAAACAAACAAACAAACCAACCTATACATACCTGTACATACCCTGTTTGTCTGTAATTTTGAAAAAGAAGCTTTTTCTGGTCTCCTTGCTGCTCCTTTAAACAGTGGGTGAATGTTACTTTTAGGGTAACCTGTGATACTCACAGGCACGCTCTCACATACGTGTATACACATAGGGCTGGGGCGTACTACCTGCCTGCACCATCCAGCTGCCAGTGTGGTCCCTGGCATCGTGGCTGGGCCAGCTCCCATGCACTGTAGCGGTACCGGGGTGCTCAGTTTGGGGCCGGGGCTGGTTCCAGCAGGCAGGCTGGGTGCTGCGGCGCGTGCGAGGAAGAGGAGAGGCAGGCTCTTGCTGTACGAGTGATGCGGTGCCCATTGACTCTGGAGTCAGAGAACAGCATCTGGCCTCTTCTTGTTTGTAATAGAGGTCTGTTAGTTGTGTCTGGGAGGATACAGCAGTGACAAGTTGCGTAATCTTCTTGGCACCTTTTGCAATTGTTCAGTACCTAAGATGTCTTTGGTCTGTGTTGTTTTTTTTTTCTTTTTAGTATAAAGTGCTCTCTGTTCTCCCGGGATCAGGGATGGGTATTGCTGTATCAACACCATCTACACAAAAAGTAAGTAGCTAGCTGTACCGGTATTGCTGTGTTTGACTTCATGCCCTTTTTGTCTTCTTTCTCTGGCTAGCACCAGCAGAAAGGCTTTTTTTTTTTCCCCCCTTATGCCAGTGTTTGGCTGCTTTTTTTTTTTTTTTTTTTTTAAATTCACTTGTCTATTATGGGTCTATATTTGGCTTCAGAATTTTAATGATTTAAACATTTAGCTTGTTCTACTGCATCTGGACTATTTTACTATAGCACTTAAGGAAGATTTGCTCCATCCTTTCTGCTCCATTATTTCATTACTTCCATTGACCATTCCCTCAGCATCCTTCATCGGAAGCATGGGGGCTGCTCTGCTGTGCAGTCTGGAACGAAAAGCTGATGGCTTGAGAGTATCTGTGGGTGAGGAGGCTTTGGGGTGGAAGGGCCTGACCCTCAGATGCAGTTTTCCTGTTTCAGTCTTATGGTGCTAAAGATTTAAGCTTCTCTAAGCCTCAAATACCCTTTGGGTGACTGAAGCTTTTCTTAACATATGACTGAACCTTATTTTAAACTAATCACCTATAAATAACTTTTCTCCAAGTTACATGACTGTTGTACCAGGCTTTCTGCTCGCTATTTGATATTGAGAAGTACTTCTTAATTACGAGGTTGAAGATAAATAAATATTCTATGAGCCGAAACGAAGAGGCACTGATAAAGATTTTTAGAAATCTTTAATGGAGGCAGAGGTCAATCAGGAAAACACCATGCACTGAGCAGATGGAAAGGAAAGAGAGTTGAAGCGTTCTCCATTGCTAATACTCTGTGCAGATGCATTTTATGCCATGGTTGTTTTAAGAAGAAGATGGAAAAGTGAAAAAAAATCTTAGAAACTCTGCCACATATCCAAGTATTTAGTAGACAAAAGGATTTTTATGGCTTTATTAATGCACTTTGAGTACAGTTCATCTCCTGTTCCTATTGATTTGGCCAAAACGATACCTAGAGGAAGATTTTTCTTTTCTGGACTGACATGATCTTTTTTTCTGTCATTTAGCCTTTGGTGTTTGGTGCCATGGTACACAGAGATGAAGCTTTTGAGACAATTTTCAACCAATACGTGAAAATAACCTCTGTATCAACAAGCAGTGAGAGCTAGTATCTTGTCTTAGAAGATCTAAAGGAAACTTTCTTATTTTACAACTTGGTGGTGAAAAAAAAATGAACATCCTCATCTATTTTGCAATAATTTTTCTTGTCTGGTGGTTTATATTCTGTCTGTTACATAAATCAAGTGTATTTTATATATGCCTTCATGTTTGTTTTTAAGGTTTTTGTAAAAAAAACAAAAAACAAAAAACAAAATGAAACAAAACAGTGAAAGTGCTATCATCACTATTAGCCTTGCACATTAAGCACTTTTAATGTTTATTTACTGACATTAAAAGCTGGGAAGATACTTGGAGAACTGACTAAATAACAAAGTGAAACAGATTGATCCCTTTAACTCCACTGGTATCACTAGGGATATGTTTGTCCCTTTATCTTAGTTATTTTTCCCTGAGATGTGAGAATGATGACTGCAGGAGCCTGAAGTCTCTCTCTTCAGCTCAGAGTTTTTAATTGGGTTCTTTATTAAAACTGATAGCGACACCAAGGAAGTATTATCATCCTAGTATTTCCATATTTATAACTGCACTTAAAATAACTCCTTCTTGCTAATTCTTGCATTGCAGAAGGATATTTTACTGGTTTGGTTAGGTTTAATTTTTCCTGTGTAGACGTTTAAATTGCTTGTACAGTGAATTGGAGGAGAAAGTTTTGTAACTATATCTTCCTTTCCTAATTAACCAAAGTAAGAGGAAGGAAGGCAGGCAGATACTTTTTATAAAAGAGGGCACGAAAATGTTGTTCCTAAAATGTTAGGCATCGTATATTTCTGTATATACTTGTCATAGAAGGGCTCAACTGTTGTACATGTTGTATGTACAAGGTGTTTGTATGTTAATGCATTAAAGACTTGCAGGCTTTTTGTGTTGGGGGAGGTGGGAATAATTAAACTAAAGTGAGATGACTTTTTTTTTAATTTGGCTTTTCTCTTGAGTTACCTTGTAATAAAATAACACTATAATATAGCAGCTGAAAGCACTAGTTCCTTTTCAAAGCATAACTTGAGGGGCATTGGTATGTTGCTGTCTTTCCCCTTGCAAAATTAAATTTTAGTAACAATTAAACCCAACTGCCAGGTAAAACAGGAAGGCTGTGCTCCTTCTCTAAACTCTCTCAGGCCTTTCTAGCAGCAAAGCACATATTGACCTTTGTCTTTAATATTAGAAAGCTTTTATACTCTATATAATAGCACCCATCTGAGAGGTTTAGAATTTTATTTGCGTTTGCATGAAAGCACAGTAGGAGTTAAGCCAAGCCTTCCAGTATGTCTTTTGAGTTGAGTAGTATGGATGTCTCCAGACATTATATGAATGTCCCCAGAAAAAGCAATGGAGATGCAAATTCTTACGTAAAAATGGGACTTAATTTCATGGATTTTTTTTCTCCTTTTTTAAACAGGAATTTTCTTTCTTTATAGGGAAAGGGGTAAAATGAAGGAGGGAGAGAGGAGGCAAACACCAAAGGGTGTTTAACTCTTAGCACAGTTTTTAATTAAAGTCTCTCAACAAATGCAGCAGTAATGAAGAAGGTGGCAGTCAAACTGTACAAACCTTATTTCAGTCTGGCCGTGAAGAGATATGATATGAAGAACTTAATATGAACTTGATGTGAAGAAATACTGTTGAATACTGTGATTTGGTTGGGTATTGTATAGTGAAACACTGACGCAGTACAACTATGTGCCCTGGGTGGAAATGTCAACAAGAACGGGGGAGAATCCACTGCAATGGCTAAAATGCTATTTTTGAGTTCTCCCTTTAGAGCAGCACTTCATGTCTTTACATGACCTGAAAAAGGGGTGCATTTCTAACACCTCTTTAGCTATGGTGTAACTTAGGACCTGAAAACTTAAAATATAAGTGAAGCTGGTGGGAAATCCATTTTGCCACCATGTAATATGGATGTAGCTTGACAGTTTATGGTTTCTTCACTTTATACATTCAGGTTTTATGTTTAAGTAAAAATCCTTGATCTTTAATTTTTCTCATCAAACTTACTTTAAAAATCAATTAATCTCTTTTTGTAATTGCTGTGTATTTATCATTTGGCTTTCCTTTCTAGAAGCTTCCTTGAATAGTAAGTGTGGCTAACAAATAGGCATTAAAATAGCTTAACGTTATATAAATCTTAATCAGATTCATTCATTTTGTCTTAAGAAAAAATCCCTTGGGTGTGTTTAGGGTTATCCTTTTTTTTTTTTTTGAAGAAACAGAAAACTATATTTTTACAGAGAGCATGCTCTTTTTCTTATTTTTGTATCATTTTTCAAGTGTAATTTATACCTTCACACTGATCATAACAGCAGTTTCAGTAGGAAATCATTTGACTTGCACTTATTACCTCCTTCACTGGTTGACCCTAGTATATAGGGTTGTCCTAGATTCTGGTTCCCGGAGGAGCTATAGGTCCGATGCTGATGGTGCCAGGACAATTAACCATACCTAGGCTTTGGAGAGGGAGAAAAGAAATTATCCTTTTCCCAGACTGAAATGCCTCATGTGTACAATATGCTCTTAAATTTTTGTTTTCTGGACAAAGACATTGGAAACTTCTTATAAAATCTAATGTGTTGACGTTTGAAATTAATCTGCACTTTAACAGTGTGAACGTAAAAATTAGCACTTCTTAAGGCAGTAAACCTAGTGCAAACTGCAATGCAACATTGTTTCATTCTAATATATAGAAAACAGACTGGATTTTTTTTTTTAAAAGTAGAGTTGTAATATAACTGACAAACATCTTTGTACATATTTTGCAAAGTTCACTTTACATTGGGTTGTCTCCTGCTACATAACTGCTCCTGTGGCGTACATAACATCAGAGATGCTAGAAGATAACCTTGGTGTGTTTGCTCGCAGGTACTCCTGCTACACCCTCACAGGTTTGGAGGGCAGGAGGGGATGGACAGTGAGTAAATATATACTTGACTTGTGTAATTACACTGAAGTTCACCTTAAATTCCAATCTTCCTACGTAGTTTTGCAGTACAGCCTGCTGTACTTCAGTAACAGGCTGAGTCATACAACTTAATGTAAAGTGCTACTTTCTAATAGCAGAAAGTGATGTTCTTGTCATTCTGTCTGTCTGCTGTTTATATTTGCAATTCTGTTGATGTCTGTGGTTCATTGCTGGATCATTGACGTGTAATTGGATTTAACTTCTTTAGAAGTGCATTGGTTAGTTCGAGTCCCTTTTAAAGAGAAGAAGGGAGATGAAAACTGACTGCTTTAATTCTTTATCGGTGACCATTTAAATTCAAAAGGCAAAAAAAGCTGAAATATGAAATCATGCCTTTCCATGCACTGTAGCTTTTGTGAGGCAAGATTGAACGAAACAAGCTGTTTATTAGCAACATCACACAGGACTCCAGCAGCAAAACCTTACCCTTGTTCCTGCAGACAAAGAGAAAAGAGATTTTACCCAATCGTGAAGAGATGAAAGGATGTACTTTTTTTTGGCTACTTAAACTTGTATTAAAAACACTGGTAGTTTTTATTGAATTCTGTACATTTTGGCAGATGTTTAATTTCTACTAATCACTGAAATATAATGGATGTTAAAATTTTTATGTCTGAAGTTTGAGTCTATATTTTGAAGTTGTAAATAATTCATTATCAGTGTAACTTTTGTTTGACAAAAGACTTATACTGTATGAAGAATTGAAATAATGAAATGATTTGCCCTGTACATTTTTTAAGAAAATCTTGTTTGTTTAAAAAGTCTTGTATAAATTATAATTTTTATTTAAATAAACCTAAAAATGCTTTGTGCTAATGCTTTTTGCAAACTTTAATAACTTACCTATCAAAACTATGCCTGATTTCTTGAACCGAGGTGAGTTAGTGCTTTCTGGCAGATTCATAGCCACCTCAAGTCCCATCACGGGGGGAGAGGTGGGTGGGTTTTGTTTCTCGCTGCTTTTGAAGCCCAAGGAATATGCTTTTATTTTAAATAATCCTTTTAATGTGTTGGAAAGCATATGTATACTTTTGGTTAGATCTTTGTCTGTTAGTACATCTGTCACTTTGTAATCATACGGTTAATTTAAGGGATGAAAAAGCAACCAGTGATTTCTAAGATGCTGCCGCTGCAGGAGGGCATGGGTGACACGAGACTGTTCGAAGGAGTACAAACTCATATCTGCCAGAGCTCCTCCGCGGAACAAATAGCAGCAGACTGTGCTACATGGTGGGCACTGGAGGTAAGAATAAGCCCTTTTCCACCCCAGAGGTATGCAGGAGGTGTGCTCAGCAGAGGCATTTCACATCCAGATACAGCTGTTCTGCAGCATCTGTGGTCACTTCAGCTCATCGGTCACACCGACACGTACCTAATTGCTGAGCCTTCGGCTGTGCTTCTGTGTAACCTGTAACCCTGTTGGGGATAAATGGCAGGGCTTCTTTATCCATGGCGTATGCCAAGGAGGCTTGCTGCCCAGCACTGGCTTTCACTGGGTATTGGCCTTTGTCTGCAGTTAGGAATGTAACACCAGGAGCGAGCTGCCTGGTCATCTAATCCAGACCTATTTGTTTGCCTCTACAACACTGCTTTCTGTGTGTTGCTCAGCTGAAATAGGTCAGTCTGTGACAGATCCTACAGTTGTGAATGCATGCTGCTCTATTTGTTTCAATATTTAGTTTTCTCCTGATGGTAGCGATGCATCTGGCAACGCAGTGGTGCTCTTAAGCTGGTATTTTATGTGTTCTGAGAATACTTAACTTCACACTTGTACTACTTTAATGCGTTTTTCATTAAATATTTGTACAAGATGAGTTGCATCTGCGGCAGTACTCACAGAGACTGGATTCAACCCTGCCTGAAGCCTCGTGAAAGGAGGAGAGTGTGGAGCCTGGAAGTGTCATTTTGGCCGTGAACTGCGTGGCACTTGGGAGGAGGGGACAGTCTTCCTGAAAACAGCACTTGCTTTCTCAAGCTCGCTTTAGCAGCCCATGAAAATAATAGAATTGAATTGAGTGAGCTGTTTACCTGCTCTCCGCGTAACTCAACGCCTGTGCAAGGAGAGGAGGCATGCCAGCAGTGCTCTGCAGGGTGTCACCAGCACACGCTGACTTAATGCAGATGAGCAGATAGAAGCATGGCCTTGTGCAGTACCAGGATTAACGGTAAAGGACAGTTACAGCATTCAGCTTGGAGAAGCTGAGGGGTTTTCTTTGTTGTTATTTTTAAGTAATCTTTAAGTCTGAGTTCCTCTACTGAATCTTTGGATTCACTAAATTCCTCTGTTTAAACAGTTTTAGGATAAGCTAAATATTTCATTCACAACGTACTGGCTCCTCTCAGACCTTCAAGTATTTTTCCTACATCACGAAAAAAAGGAACTAAAGATGCGAGGCGTTCCTTTTCTGTGTTAGGGAAGTGAGGGCGTCGCAAACGGAACAGTCGCTTGCAGCAACAGTGTCCTCACTGGGCTGTGGATGCTCTAGAAGTTAAGTGAGCTTAATGCAGTGCCTCAAGGATGTAGTTGTTGTGAACATGTCTTTGATAGGATATTTAGCCTGCACTGATGCTGTATTTGGCCAGGTTGGATTTGGTTGGCAGACAGGGAAGATGAGGGGAAGAAAAATACCTCCTCCTGTGTTTAAATACCTGGCCTTTCCCTGTACCTTGTGAGCTTCACAGCTTATTTGAGATGTGAATTAGGCAAAATCTCTGCTTTTGCATCATTTATTGAAGCTCCATTTTTGACAGTTTCCATGGAAGATAGTTCTATGTGGAGAATGACTTCCTTCAGTCTTCCTTTTTCACGATGTTTTTCTGTTAACTACTAACTTTGGTTATTTCTATAGCCTCTGCCTTATGCTTCACCCTCCCCTAATTCTCTGTATATGTTTTGCTTTATGCTTCTTTCTTGCTTCTCTTCACGTGCATAATCAAAGTTTCCTCCAAAACCAGTTGGCCCATTTAGCCTACTGCATCCCTTTTTTTTATCCCCTGCTCTTAATTTCATCTCTGAATGATCTCATGTGAATGGATAAAATCCTACTGGCACCTGCATGCCTAGATGAGAAATTTCTCTTCATCCTTCATCTTTCATGTGTTCCCCAGGGCTCAGTTTTGGGGCTGGTCTTGTTCAGTATCTTTATCGATGATCTGGACGAGGGGATCGAGTGCACCCTCAGTCAGTTTGCAGACGACACCAAGTTGGGCGGGAGTGTTGATCTGCTCGAGGGTAGGAAGGCTCTGCAGAGGGACCTGGACAGGCTGGATCGATGGGCCCAGGCCAACTGTATGAGGTTCAACAAGGCCAAGTGCTGGGTCCTGC